TGACGTGAAAATTAACATTAACATTGTGCTTTCGTAAAAGCACACTACAATTCAGTGTGTTCACCTGTGGAGCAGCTAAATTATTTATAACAAAACAGAGAACAGTTGAAACCTATTGCTTTCCTTTTACATAGTCGCACTGATAGTTTTGATTGATTTTATTCTGCTAGAATATGACCAATTTTTTGGTTCCCTTCACTGAAAAGGTACTTTTGTGCAAGGCCAAAATAACTCAAAAACCTGTGACTGAGCTCCTTTAACTATTGTATTCGATCTCCACTAATAAAAACTTTCACCAGAACTGAACTGATTACCTTCACGCCCGGTTAAGTGAGAATGTTTCAATTCTAAATGAAATATATTAGAATTACATTATTTTTGACACAAGTATTTTGAAAGCGAATTTATTTTTGAATAAATATATATTTATTTCCAGCTAACACGCTCTACTTTTTCGTGCCTTTTGAGAAGTAGGGTAAGGGTTGTTGACTAGAAATAGACAAAAATGTTTCTTTCCTAAAACATGATGTGAAATTAACTATGTGGAATTTGTACTTATTTGTAAATAAATTGCGATCCAATGTCAAATAACTCTTATACTCTCTCCTTCACAGAGGTCTCTTTTGTGCTGCTTTGACTGTAAGCTGGTAGTTTGGAAGTTGTCTCCCGCACACCTTCTCACTCCCAACGTTAAATTTCCTGTAGGGAGCCCCTGTGGAGGAGAGAGACTCTTATATGTAAAATCTGATTCACATCATGTAAACTTGACATATCTTGCAGATGATGTTAGGACTGTAGAGGACCCTGCGAAGTGTTTAGTAATGTTTCCTGTTTATCGTACATAATGTATTAATTCATGAAAAAAGTTACCGTTGGAAGTATGGAAAAATAGAGACAAATGACTTCTTTGTCAAATCTGTGAGTTATTTGACAATGCGTACTTGACTCCCATTAAACACTATGTTTTTTGCTTGTCCTAGTTGCTCATTCATTATGCTTTTGTGCTTGTCCCGATTACCCATTTTTTTAAAATTTGTCAACATTCCTCACCATCACAGAGTGATATAATTTTGTCTGAGGATGACCATTTAATATAGTCACACCAGTGTTTTAAATGAAAAAGGCACTGGGGGACAACGTGTGTGGGGTGGCATTATATTATGTACCGCTATGCCCAGATCTTTTTGAAAAAATAAAAATAATAAAAGAAAGTACCAACAATGCATTAGCAGGACATGGTTTAATCTGCTAATAAAGGATTTAGATGAAATCTGAACTGATAAAACAATTTATTTTTGGCTCAAAACAAAACTAGACTTGGTAAACTCAGCACTAATGAATGAATATGGAAAACAAATAGTGTAGATATTAGTGCACATATTAGTCTTAATTGGGCTGCTAGCTACGAAACTCCTCAAGAATGGGGGGTATTTTACCAAGGGGGCGCTATTGGGAAGGACACTAAATTAAAACAATGTGAAAATGCTGCTGCTTGAATTGTGAGCCAAGGTATATTTTTTCATAGCATACATACTTGGCTCAGGCAAAAGCTCAATTGAGAGAAGACATACCTAGTCAAATGTTACTTTTTTGTATTTGCATTGTTGTTGTTTTTTTTTTTACTTCTCTACTTGATGATTTGAATACAGCAATGTTAAAATAAAATGCAGTGAAAGGAAAGTGGAAAGGGCAAGATGTAGTGAACTAATTATATGCCCGTTAATTGAATACATTTGTTTTAGGATAAAAAAAAAAACTTAATATAAGAGAGGAAAGCGTAAACACATAGTAAATAAATAGTTGAGCTGGCACTTATTAACACTGAACAAACTGGTAAAGTGCCTGTTTAAATAATTTTCTAGTTGACTTAACCCCCATAGATAAAGGAATATCATTCCATTCCTTTCTCGTAAGGTGTGAAGCGGCACTCTTGCTACAACTGACAACTGATACAGCCTCACTGGCAGATTTAGGGAGAGGGAGTGGATTGGGTGGCTAACCCTCCCCTTTTTTTGAGAAGCCAAAAAATAAAATAAAAATTGAAAAAATTTGGGAAAATTATTGCAGATCTAAAAGGCAAACACTTTGGACAGGTGCCTCATTGTAATTACAAGTATTTAATGCTAAAATAGTTCTGGCATTGCTAGTATTTCTGGTGTAACAGTTTCAATTTGGTTCCAGTTCTCAAATTGCAACATTTTGGGGGCATGCCCCATTGCTTCTGTGATTCTGTAACCCTAAGGTACCAGCCACATCCCCTTGAAAAATCCCGTATCCGCCCCTGAGCTCCTTGTTTCTGGATTTCTTGGATCCCCCTGACACATAGATTTACTACATTTGGCTTAGGGGTAGATTATCAGCACACCAAGTGCAAGAAGATACTAAAGTCAGAGCACAATTGCAAAGTTGTTGTGGTTCCCACCTTTCCTTAAAATCTTCTTAGGGAACGATTTGACTTGTACCTGACGAGTTCTTCTAAACATGAAGAAACTCAATTTTTTGCTGCTACGACGAGTAAAGACTTCAAACCCAAGACTTTCCATCATCGATAGAAAAAGCTCTTCATTTAAGTAGCGTGAATTGTCTAAACACGGAAGAGGGAGAACTATAACCAGGTATCCTTGATCAACTATGAGTTTTGGACATTTCCGGAGCATGTCACCTCGTTTACGAATGTCCCCCTCAAAGTTGACAACCAAGCTTAAAATCACAACATCGTATTCCTTGTGATCAAGTTTTAAAAAGTCTGCCTTTACGACGTCATTGCTTTGAGGATTTAAGTCAATAGGTGTGCATTGTATCCATTTTGAATGCTTCTTGTAATTGTCGTCAAGAGCACCAACGTCAAGTACCCTTAGTTTTTCACCTTCTGTCCTGTTAGCACAGACATTGTGGGCTCTCAACTGTTTTAGAACCCATTTTGCCGTGTTGAAACTTCCATGGCGAGCTTCTCCAAGTTTGGATGCCTTTTGATAAGCATTTATACCCCCAATTTTTTCCTTTTTCGCCTCAAGAAGCGCAATTTGGGCCGCCTTGTCTTCTTTGTGAATCGATGGATTCTTTCTTACCGAGTCAATTGTCTTGTTCAAGGTGTGATATTCAGTTATAATTCTCCGATCTTTTCTTGAGCTGATTTCCACGACAGGCTTCTTTGATTTCTTTCTCTTCTTTTTAGCTTTCGTATTTTTGTCTCTTCTCTGCGTTTCGCAGTGTTTAGTTAGAATGTTTCTGTAAGAAGAGGAAGAGCCGTCCGCCATTTCTGATATAGAAGGCCAGGGTACAAAGCTTGTTCTCGACCTCGCTTCCGTCCTCTTCAATGTCTGCCTGAGCAAAATGGTGAGTTCGTGGAGAAGGGAGACAAACAATCTAAACAACACGGTTGCATCCGACCATACATTTTAGTTATTTTTGAACGTAACAAATCAGAAATAATCAAAGACAGAATTAAACTATTTATTTTAACTTTATAGTGACCATATAAGATTTCACGAGTTCTTTGATAAGATACATAAAACACTCTTGAATGCTGATTTTCATGATTCGTAAAGCCAGAAAATTTCATCTGTGATTTTTATTTACGAGTACAGTTAGATTTATTTCTTTTAATGCGAATAGTTATAATGCCTCTTGTGAATGTTATAATGCCTCTTATTTTAAACCTACTTATCAAATAAACGTGTGTATGTATGTATGTATGTATATGTAAGGAGACTGGATTTCACGAGTAAACTTATCTGATGATGGTGTGTGGATAATTTCACAGAGCGACGGTACAGCCACTATTAGGACGCGAAAGTTCCTTACAAACCGCCTGCTTCAACGGAAGCAAATGGTAATATACACATTTATTATAGTTCCCTGTTACCATTTAGAAATAATGTCTTCTGCTGTTCTGACAGACAGTTACAAGTCGTTAGTAAAACCCTAGCATAGTCTTGAAATGTACTCGCTAAACTCTGAAATCTCGGGCTGTAGTGGGCCCCTTCTGGGAGTGTCTACACTTCTTGATGCTGTGTTATATGGGGTGAAGTAACTCTTAAGATTACTCGCGAGTTTTCTTATGTCACTCAAAGTGTGACTTATGAGATGTTTTAGACAGAGTGAACTTGTAGTTTGAATGTTTAAAAGCTTACAGTGTAAATAAGATTTGTGTCAAAAGATTTGTGATTCAGCAGCTTTTTGCCATGTAAATTTCTCTAAATTGCTGTCATTGCAGTTTGACATACAAACGAGGCTCGATTCTGCTTTCTGCCACATGCCTTTTTAAACAAAAGAACATTCGACAGCAGACTCGAGTGCAATAACGGCTATTACAAAACTTTCAGACCATGGTAAACATTGACCATATAATTGCTTTCAGCCTCACTGATATAATAATGCTCTTTTTATTCCTGGCACCCTCTTTATGACAACCATTTTTATGGTTGGACACATTCATGTGACAGGATTCTTTAAAGAGCCTCTAGCAGTGTTTCTGTTCATGCAAAATCACTTTAAACATTGTTTTCCTCCTAGGTGGTGGATGTTCTTCACCCTGGAAGACCAAATGTTTCAAAAGCCGAAATCCGTGAGAAGCTGGCCAAGGTGTATAAAACTACAGCGGATGTAATTTTCTGCTTTGGTTTTAAAACAGCTTTTGGTGGTGGTAGAAGTACAGGCTTTGCTCTGATATACGATTCCATGGATTTCGCTAAAAAATTTGAACCAAAGTATCGTTTGACCAGAGTAAGTGTGAAGTATGCTTTACTTTGACTGAGTATGCTTTGGAGGGGAAGGGATAGCACAGTGGTGAGAGCACTCAGCTCTCACCAATATGGTCCGTGTTTGATTCCAACGTCATATTGTATTTGGGTTGAGTCTTACCTTGCTCCGAGTGCTTTTTTCTTTGGGTACTTCAGTTTTCCCTGCACAGAAACCAACCTTTCCAAACCTAGTTGTAGCAGAGTAGGGGATGAAAACCAGCCAAGGAAATATTGTAATTTATTGGTTTATTTATTTTGTACTTGATTTTCTAGAGTGTTTTCTTGGTCAGGGCTCAGTCAGTTAGTGTAATTCTTTGTAGTTGTTCAGTTGTTGTTGTTTTGATCAGCTTTTACCATAGCAGTCATGTTTTAATTAGGTAGGCGTTTATGTCTTATTGTCCATTCTAGGGAGTTTTGATACTCAGAGAGGCATGTTGACCCAGATAATGTTTGTATCTGAGGCTACTCAAAAATATCTACATCTATCAAATTTGAACAAAAGAATGTACAGTCTAGGTGACTGAGAAAATTAATGTCAGATTCTGTTACCCTATTTTGTACCAAGTTTTCACCTCAAATAGCAAGAAAACCCAATCAACTGGTCTATAGGTATTAAGTAATCTGTGGCGATCCTATTGCCCTGTATGTGTAGAGATGAATGAAGGAAGTTGCATATTGCCTTTGACTAATGTGTTTTCTTTTTGTGTTACTTATCCAGCATGGTCTTTATGAAAAGCCAAAGACATCACGAAAACAAAGAAAGGAAAAGAAGAACCGAATGAAGAAGGTCCGTGGAACTAAGAAGGCTAAAGTTGGGGCAGCAGGAAAGAAGGTTTGTGTGGTTTATTACTTGAATTTCAAAATTTATTTTCCTTCAGTGTTGAACACCTAGTTCTTAAACACATGGTTGTGCAACTGCTTTATATTCATATGTTGTGGTTCAATATAACCTGTGGTACTATTTGGTATTTTTTTGTACATTGTAATATAACAAGGAAAAATACAAAATAATTATTGTACCAAGGGGAAAATTGAACCACAACATTTACACTGAACAAAGGGTACTCAGATTTGTGGCAATTCAAAACTTTTTTGTTCCTGGATTCATTTTGCTCTTTACAAGCAAAGTATGAATTTGGGTTAAAATTATGTTTCTCACAAAGATGGAAACTTTTACATGTAATGTGGAGTGTAGAGTGGACATTGTTTGACAACTCAAATCTGGATACTTCAAATCCATAGCAATTTGTTTTAAAAACAGAAATATGTGCTTTTTTATTCTGCTAATTCAACCTCCACACAACAGCACAACAGGGACATGTCACTATAGGGAACATTACAGAATCTAAGTAATTCTTTAGCTCAAACATCTTATTAACTCCAATTTGGAAAACATTAATTTATATATCTGGAAAATTGTTCAGTGTATACACACGAGATGGTTTGTAACCATTTCAGTCTGTAGCAGACAGTTTAGTCTTGTATGGCAGTGTTGTTTACTACACCACCACCTTTTACCTTATGTTGTCCCCATACAACAGCTTTACACCATAGATCACTCCTAATGACGCATGGTCTAATGTTGGTCATTTTGTTTTTTCTTTTCAGTGATTACCAGCTATCATTCAATTTCCAGTCCTCAATCTTTGTATCAATAAAATATAAAGTGATTGAGATGGTTTGTCTTTTGTTTTCTGTTGTTGAGTGATTAAATTGCTCTCTACACAGAAGCTGCAATTAAATTTTGATTATTTGATTTGCCTTCTGATTGGCTGTTTAGGCTAAGATGTCTTTTTGAGAACTAGAAAGTGGCTAACTGCTGTGCATATAACCTACAAGAGAGAAAGTTTGGGGGAATTCAAAACTATCAATGGTAAATGCGATGCTTACTTATGGCTCAAGTTTTTATACACATTCAATTTTCCTAAACTATCCCTTGTGTTTGCATCAGGCTATACAGACACTACAAATAAGCCATTTTGTTCCTAAATGTGCCTTGCAATAATTTTTTTGTTGCCCTCAATAATCTTTAGTGTCCATCTTAAAAAAAACGTGTGTAATCTTAGTCCAGTTCTGGCTCTCTGCCATGCAGTCCAGGGAGCACTCCTATATAACAAGGTTGGGGGTGCCTGTCGTGCCTTGACTGTACTGTAAGAGGTTAAAAAAGCAGATTTGGTACCTCCTGGGGTGTTCAGCCTAAAAAGGTACGCAGCAGGAGCTTTCGTGGTACCTTTTAGGGTTTTGAGCCGAAAAAAGTCAATGTTGTGTTTGAGAATTGGTGCCTCTTAGGGGTGAAAAAAATTTCAAGCCATGCCTTCAAAACAGGATCTTGATACCTTTTAGGGGTTCTTGTCGAAATTTCTGATGAGCAGCCCCGTCCTTTTTAAATGGGAGTGCCCCCTGGGCATGCAATGCTACGTAGAATTACATGTATGTGACAGAGAGAGAGGGTCCGAACTGGACTAGTATCATGTGTCCAGTAACTGGCTGCCACACATTGCACAATATGGGGCTGCAAGATGACCCTAACACTGATGTGAATGGAAGATTTTTTTGTGAGAGTGTAATAATTAATGGTTATTCCAAGAGTGAGCATTGGATGTGGGATGATAGATAGCCAACGAGGTGGGTAATGCCAAGTTGGCTATAATCATCTCATATCTAACAAGCAGGAGAAGAATAGTATAGTATTGCCGGCAGCAGGGCAACTGGTTTTCACAAGTAGCAAATTATTTTGAACTGAACTTCTTAAAGAGAAAATCGTTCTCTACATGGTTAAATCAGGCATGCAAAATCATTCTCAGAGCCAGTCAATTTGCCCAGTACCTGGCTCTTAATGAAACCCCTTAAAAAAGAGGCCCCCAAAATATAGAAAACTAAAATAAAATAAAATAAAAATTCCCCCTGAGTTATTCATAACCTTAGCATATTTGTAGAGCATGGTATGAATAAACAATAGCCTCCATTTGGCGCGAAAATGTGCTTGGATATTTGTCCGTGGACATTATCTGCTCTGAGTAGCAACTGCGAGTATTGAGGAACAGATATCCAAGGATGTTTTTGCACCAAATGGAGGCTATTGTGTCTATTATCTTTCAAATATTTTTTGCAACACATGCAGTCATGAAAATTGGGGAATATCACTTGGATATTCCCCAGTTTTATTTGGCACATATTCACTCACATGATGTGTTAAGACCAATCACATATAAGTGAAACTATTTGAAGGATTATAATTGCTCATATACCATGATGCCTTAGCCAATACAATCTCTGAATTGCATTACAAAATGACCCAGCTTTTAATAAACCAGTTTGGAAAAGAATTTTGACTGTTACAAACCCAATGTACATAATAATTTAACTCATTGGCACCTGTGCTGTCCATAACCAGCTGTGATGAAGGTTGGCTTTTGTTCCACTTTTGATGTCATCACCTTTGATGAAAATTGGCATCACCTATACTTGAGTTCTGCAGGAGGAAAAGATCTTTCCAATGATACCCAGATCAGAGTAATTGGGTCAATTGAGTGTGAAATATGCATGATAAATGCCAAGAAATTTGAGTGTAAAAATGGGAGGAAAATTTCCCTCAACTAAACTTGGCTACTCTGTGGCAAAAATTTCCTGTCTTGATGATGCTTTCTTGTGAATTCTTTAACTGGAAGCAGGTCCACAGCTGCAGCAAAAAGATAGGAAAAGGAGAAAAAGGAAAGGTAAAAAAATAAATAAATAAAAGAAAAATTTTGATTTGTGCGCATGCCCATGCAAAAATGTCTTAAAAAGCGAGTTTAGTGGAAAGAAAGGCTTGCTGCTGTGTTGGAATTGCCTTCCTGAGTAGACTGGAGCTAATGCTGAAAATGTCCAAAATTCCAAAAATTGTTTTTTCCCAAAAAGCTCCGGGTGTCAATGGTTAAATAAGTGTTGAAGGTAATCTGATTAGTATGCACTTCAACATGAGGCTGAGGTAACAACAAAAGCATTCTCTATCAAATATATTTTTCTCATTTTCTAATATCCTCACAAAAAATGTGGCGATAAAAATTGCAAGACAAAAACATGTTTGTTACGGTGAAGACCAAAAGTTTAATCAGAACAACTTCTTACAATCTCATCTGATCTTTAAATACTGATAACAATATTATTGTTGATAACTATTAAATTCTATCCAATCTTAGTATTCAATTTAAATATATTTAAATTTGTTCAATATTCTCCTGTAGAAGTGTACAACAGCTAAGCAGACTTGTAGCCCCATACAGACCATTTTCTCTGTCATTCCATGCACAAAAAGAGCTTTGACTCATTTGGAATTTTAATATTCAAACTACTGTTACCCCCCTTCCTTCCCTCTCTCTCCATATAAGCCCCCTTTACATAAAGCCACGCATTTCTGCTGAGAAAGTTGCATCACACTAAGGGTTGTAACTGCAGGGACAAATATTAGAAGCAAGCAAAAGATTTTAGACCAGTGTAGTTGATAAAGATTCTAGCTGATCATTTGAAGGCTAAATTATGAAGCTTGATACATCTGAACAGATTATTTGAAGGCTAAATTATGAAGCTTGTTAACCAATGACTTTGTATAATCAGTAATTATCACTGCTGTTATCTAAAGGTGACTGATCTGGCTTTGACCAAGATTCTTCCTGAAGAATTCCAATATTTTCTGCCAGGAATGTTCTTGAGCCAGTGAATGGTCCTTAGGATTTCCTCCCCAAGCAAAAGTTGTCTTAAAATTCTTGTGATAAGAGGCATAACAGAGAGGTGCAAAGGGGGGTTCAATAAGGTGCCCTGTGCCAGGATAACTTAAGACAGAGCACAATGCACTTTTGCCATTTGAAGTCATGCGTTTGAAAATCTCATGTGCCATTTCAGAAGATAAAACACTTTTATCATCCTCTCCACAAATAACCAATATGGGACAGTCAATTTTCTCCACTGGGATTATGGCTGAAGGGTCAAGTTTGTCAAGTCCTTGCACAGGTACACAGTCACACAAGTTTATTGCTCCATCTGCAGTCATCTTTGCGTTAGTGAAATCATAATAAACACCTGTGAGCTGTCCATTGACTTTGAATGGTGAAACTGAGATGACAAGTGAAGCAGAGATTGGCACAACAGCTTTAATAATATCCTTTCTATGAGCAGCTATCATCAATGTTATTTCTGCGCCTTTTGAGACACCCATAACACCGATTCCATGCGACATAACCGCAGGATGTTTTACAAACCAGTCGGCTGCTTCCTCAAAATATTCAAGTTCGCAGTAAGGCAGGTACTTTGGAAGGTCATCATATGCAAAGTATGCGAGGGAGAGTGTTGCAAACCCATGAGATGCAAGGAGAGATGCTTTGAACTCAATTAAACCTCCTGCTGTTCCAAACAGATCTATGACACCTGACAGAAAGAAATAATCAAGGAATGTTTAGTGCACCACCCTCTGAAATGCACTTGAGAGACAACAAGAAGGAGTGGGATGTGCAAAATTTCTGCCAGAGGATCCCTGATTTGTACTCTGGATGTGCATTGTCACAATTTTGGTTATGAATTCCTCTGGATTGTTGCAATATATTCATGTGTTCGTAGAGATCAGGTTACATTAAACTGAATGAACCGCTATCCCCTCCAGTCTCTCCTGTAGTAACATAACATCCTAGGAGGGACACCCCATGTGAAATGATTGGGGATACTCATTGGAAAACTTGAATTTTATTCCATGAGGACCAATACGGGTGTGGTTCCAGTACATATTTGACGCAAGCCTGTATGGTTAAACTACCAACACAGTAGAACAGTGCTCTTTATTCCTTCACAAGTAACCATAAATAATACCTTGAAGGCTTACTGATACCAAAATCTATAATTTACACTCCAGAAAGATAACTTAAGCATCCCAACATTTTCACAGTTAAGTCTCTCAGGTGTGGTTTGGGAAACTATTTATACGGACGTACATACCCTCTCAGGGCTTGAAAAACACTTGAATTCCAGCTTGCCCTTAGGACAAGAAGCTCTCAAATTTTGCTTTCCCTTGGCAAGTCTTAGTTTGCTCTTTTAATGATTTAGTTGGTAGATGACTTGCCTAATCCTTCCCCCGACAGGCAAGTGAGAATGAAAAGTCACTTGCCCAGAAGAAAAATCTACTTGTCCGAGACAATGGGACAGCACTTTTTTTAAAGCCCTGCCTCTGAAGGAAGGTTATTGGAAAAATTCCCTTGGGATTAGGGTTTTAAAAAGTCAACATTTTAAAATGAAAATGCAAAGCTTAACTAGAAATTTGCAGAGAGATAGGGGAAACAAGGAGAGTTCAAACCAAAAAACCTYGGTGTAAGKTGTATGGATGTTTCATGGAACAACAAAAATTAGTTGCACTTCTATTTCCATAATCTCCGTCATTTACTACATGAACAAATGTAACACTAAAGATGAAATGATACTCTAGCACTGACCTGGAAATGGCCCATTTCCAGGAGGTAAGAACAAAGTCCCACGCACCCTCCCCTGCCTCACAGGAATTCTCTGCACTCCATCAGCCATGTAGGACTTCTCCAGGGATGAACTCATTATGGGCTGTAGATGGTTCCTTGTTAAGCTATTCACAAATCCCTCCTCTGGTGATAGATGTCCATTAAAGCAGTTCAGTTGAATGGCATAAGGCTTTGTGACATCCTTCTTTGCCAGTCGAAGTCCTTTTTTCTGGCCTGGGGCTTGCGCCATGCTCCACAGAAATCCCATCTGTTCACAGCCAGTGAAAGATCCCCCATGAGAAATGTCGCATGAATTATCAATCTCTCCTTTGAAATGGATTAAAAACATGAAATATTTTGAATGAAAGGTATCTTTATTTTGAATTACATTTGTGGAGGGGGCAAATCCAAGGCAGAGCTTGTCTGAACCAGAGGTGTCACTGATTGGTTAGAAGAATATCTTAATCCTCATGCCTCGGCCACATCAGGGGAGTGACGTATCGATCACATAGGTATGTATGTGTCACCTCCGCAAATCCAGGAAACAAATTTTATACATATTTATTGGTAAACAGTATCGTTAATAATTACACCACCTGGTTTGACAGTCTCTAGTAGTCTCTCCTATCAAACCCAGTATCAACAATTGACACCAAAGGTTGACATATAAACAACATGAGTTACTAAACACTCAGTGCTTTCCATGTTTTGATAATATGAAGCTGTTCCCCGGAAAACATAGAAAATGGCATTTCCGAGCATCTAAAAATAAAAAGATTCCTGTGGGGGGCACGCCCCAAACGTGCCCTCGATTAACGTTCCCCGGCGAAGTGGATGGAAAACATCTGATGCTTTTTCAGAGTGAAAACACCGTTTTCAAATTTCTCCGGCGTAGTGTGGATGGGACGTCAGACAATTGAATAAATTACAATTGTTGTTATTATGAGAACTCAATGGACCATAATTTTTTCAAGCTTATTGCATTACTATTTAAATCACCAGTTGTTAGTCTACGCCTACTGACTTGCTGTTATGTAACGAATCACTTACCTACCGTGTTAGCAACATAATGTGCGTGAGATTCGAAGATTTCATTCGCATCACCTACCACTGAGGCGTGTAAAGTGATGGGTTGTCCGGCCTGAAGTCCTGATATGCATATCTTCACCTTGCGGTCCATAAGCGAAGACTGAGGGCTGACTGTGAAGTTCGGGGAACGATTGCCGGTGCTTTTCATGTCTGATATCCAATTTGAAATGATCTTGTTGCAAGAAGTTGATCTCTTCAGATAAAATGGTACTCGAATGAGCGATGAAGTGAATTTTGCCAAGGAATAAGCGCACATTACAGAGATACACCCGAGCTGCACGCGTGACTATTTTAACCCTGTGAGACCGTGGAACGGACGCTCGCCACACTTGGATCCAGATTCTTCCCCGACGTGCTCGTCCCTATAACCGGCCAGGACTTGACACTAGGAAAAGTGGTTATGCTAAATTTATATGTAATTGACACTGGTTATCTTTATCTACTGGTTTATCTCTAACTTCACTGAAAATTTTCCTTAACTGGTCAAACAAATCATGTGGCTTCAGAGCCATCGGTTTCTTCGAGCCAAAGCCCTGCTGGCTAAGAGAGAAATACAAATGTGGCGCCGGGAACACAAACGAAAATGCTGCTGGTCAGTAGCCTGCGAACGCAGACGTATTTCCGGCTGTCGCTTGTCTCCGCCGAAAATAACGTCTGCGAACCCGGGCCAGGAAACAATTTCTGTGACGTAGGAATTTTAAGCCAATAACAGTTTAGCTCAAGTAGTCCCAGAACTACTGCGCGAGGTATTTGCTGCGAGGAACACTTGAGTTTCTTTCTATCATGGAATCTAATTGGCCAAAGAGAAACAAAAGTCATTACGTCACAGAAATCGTTTCCTGGCTCGGGTACGGAGACGTTATTTTCGGCGGAGACAAGCGACAGCCGGAAATATGTCTGCGTTCGCAGGCTGCGCCCTCGTCAACTATCACGCATAGAAATCGAGAGGGAATAATCTAATTTTTTTAGTATAAGTCTACTAGTCGTTCAAAACTTTATCTAAATCTTCTTCACAGACCCTTCGAAAACACCAAGAAGCGGCCGTCATTTTGTTAACAGGGGCGCACTGCTACGCTACTCACTATCTATCACTAAATAGATAGTGAGTAGCGTAGCCAATCAGAGAACGGCATTCGTGATTGAGCGCTAGTAAATTTATACTAAAACTCGATAGAAACACGGTACATGTTTACTATTTTTTAAGCAAAAGACGAAATCTCTAGGTGACGCACACTACTGTAAATTTCAAGAAATTGTAAAACGCATAGTCGTTTGTAAGACTCAGCGGGCTTGATGAATAAGAGACACTAGTTTAGATATGGTAATGGTAGTTTAGTTTTTATGCATGGGCTGATAATTTGCCATGGCAGCTTAATGTTCCAAAAAACTCTCTCATTGGTCTTTAGTCTGGAATTAATGTTTGTTCCTTTAGAAATATTTCCGTGGGTAACCATTAGCCCATAGTATCTTCATGTAGTAGACAAGGATGAAGGAACCGATCAGATTCGAGAATTTCCAATTAATATTTGTCGTGGATTCCAACACACTTAATTGGACACGATGATTGTCTATCTTGATTTCAAGAATTTCCACTTCTCCTGCTTCGTACCTCGAGTAATGGCAAAATAATAGGATGAAGGCGCGAAACTAGTACTGAGTGAAACCACACCAGGTAAAAGGTAAGG